CGAGTATAGGGTATATAAAAGACTGATGATGGCATTTTGTTACTTCCTACCTACAACCTATTTCTTTTTTTTTTTTCGTTTTCCAATACAGCACCAGCACCTAGCACCTTTAGTATGCAATGAGGCAGCCAGACAAACGCATCGACAACGATCGGCAGCGCCAAGTATTAGAAATACACGAGTGTGATTAAAAAGGATGAATAGCAACAACCTGCAGCAATGGTGGGAAAACTCATATCGACGACAGCATCAACAACAGCCGACTGTCGATAGCAATATCGATAACGATAGCGCTACAACTGACCTGCACTATGCCCTACTCGAGCAGAACTTTTTTGGCGGCAATGGAGGAAATTTTGGCAATGGAAATTCGGCCGGAAATTCGCCGCAAGACTTTGACTATGACAACTATGGCAATTTCACACTGGTTGATCCCTATGATTTTGACAATGGCGCGGATTCGGAACATGCGATACCATCAATTACCATTCTACTCTTGGCTATAAGCTATGGCCTGGTCGTCTTTGGTGGCGTCGTCGGCAATTCTACTTTAGTGCTTACCCTCTGTTCGGCTTCATCGGTGCGCTTGCGAAATCCCCTACTCTTAGCCGTATGCGTTGCCGATCTCCTAGTCACGGGCATTTCAGCGCCGGTTACGCTTCTCAATCTGGCCATGAATCGCGGCACTCGATCATTACCACTTGCACTATGCAAACTAATACACTACGTACAGGTAAGCACAACAATAAAGTATAATTATTATTCAATTTGCACACTAAAAAAAATAAATCAGGTTTCGCGCGCGATCAAACCAATAAGAAAACTATCATGCCTAAACTATCGAAATATCGCTTAAATGGCAGCACCAGCTGAGCTTAACTGCAAAATTGTAAAAGCAGGACATATTTTTAGTGGTTTAAAAGAATGAAACTTTTTATATATATATTTTTTTTACATTAATACACGTTGCAAGAGTAACAGACTGCAGTTTCAATAATAATTATAATTTAAAATCGGCGTCCCCAAATTATCCTTTTATTAACAGCACCAGCTGAGTTTAACAGCATGAAATAAAGAAAAATACCACTAACATTAACGGCGCGAGAATACATCCAATGGAGAGATTTTGAAAAGGGGAATTGATTACTTATTAATTTCAGGTCATGCCAGTGGCAGCTAGCACTATTTCTTTCTTCATGCTCTCACTGGATCGCTATGCCACCGTGAAACATCCACGTTTGGCTCAGTTGCGACAGCGTCGTTACCTTCACGTCTCTCTGGCTCTTCTCTCATGGATCGCCTCGGCAGCGATCAGCACGCCATTCCTGTTTGCCTATAAGATAATAGCAAAGTCGGTGGTCATTAAGGGTACAAGCACAACACCGAATCCGGTTAGCATCAGCTGCACATCAGAGTTGGGCGCGAATGCGATGTTCATGTCCTTCATCATCTTTCATACGATCGCGGTGTTTGTGCTGCCCGGCGTGGGTGTTCTACTGAATCACTATGGCGTACGCCGTAAGCTGTGCGCGCTCTCCTTGACAGCGCGAGCTGCCCATGGTGAGCTGCCATTGCCAATGCCCATATTACGCCGCCAGACACACATGGTGATCGTGACGGGCTGTGCGAACGCACAGCAAGCGGCATGTGGCGGCGCAACAACGGCAGACGATACATCGAATGGCAATGGAGGCGGTCAAATGGCTGTCAATCCCGGCGATATTCAGTTGCATAATCTACAGCCCTGCTTGCAGGCTGGCTCCAGTGCGGCACTCGAACCGGGCTCCTATCGCTCCAGCAATCCCATTTCACCAAGGTAAGCTAATGAGCTATCTCACTAATTACACTTGCATCAATTTCAAGTCATATTTTTCCACAGAGCTATGAGGGAGATACGCGCCCATTCGCAACGGCAACGGATTCATCGCTTGGGCCGCGGCCCAGCCACTCCTGGTATACCTCTGCCACAGACATCGACGCTGCGTTCGCGTCGACACTTGGCCAATATGCTGGTTGCATCGGCTCTAATCTTTATCATCTGCTGGGCACCGCATGTCTTCTGCATATTCTATAAGAATTTCGGCTATAAGCAATACTGCAGCAAAACTTCCGTCTACTTCAGTCTCCTATTGGGTAAGTGAAACAGAATATAATTATAATATAAAATATGTATGGGAATTGAAAAAATCTCAATTAAAATTGAATGAAAAGTCTCGGAGACGAAGAGAAACGTTTTTATGAAAACTCCCTGACTTATACTAAACATTTTTACCACTAGAATCCTACATTATCTCTGAATAATGTATATAAACCCAACAAAAATGGTTCCCTTCAAATCAAACAGAAATTTGTTTTTAATTTTCCAACCCCTTTTTGGTATTTAGGTAAGAAAGTTAGGATTTCAACTGATAAAAAACGATTACATTAACTGATAGATCTATAAATTATATGACTGAATTCTTTATCTACAAATGAAAAATAAATAGTCATATCATATAGATAAATAATATGAATTGCACAGATCTCACGAACAGCTTGACAGAAATCTCCAGCTTAAATTAATTAAACATACTAAAAATAAATATATTACTAGTATATCAAAATATACAATCACACAAAAATGTAATATTTAACTAAACCAACAATTATGGCCTCACCATATATACTAAGTAAATCTGATTCGTATTGGTCGAGCGTCAATTGCTTCGCAATGCTGGAGCAGCCCTATGAGGAGCGTTGCGAGTTTGTGCGAAGAGCCAAGAAATGTGAACTCAGCATGAATCTTGTGCCCTATTTGGAGCTGTTGGCCTGCCGGTTCAGGTGTCGCAATCAGTTCGAGGAACTCGTCTAT